GGTACTACTTGATTGATGCGAAGAGTGGAAGCATCGAGCGTGGCATTACCGAGAAACCAGTTGCCCGGTGAAGTAATGCGCAGGTTGTCTGTCGAGGGAAGGTAGGTGGATGAGTCTTCGACGCATAACGAGAGCCAGGCGTGCCGTGCCGGAGAGCAGCTGCAGCGAAGCTGCCAAGAAGGGGGTCTGACATGCGTAAAAAGATGACAAAGAAGAGCCCCATTATTGCTTGTGACAGCTTAACCTCTGGCTGTTCTCTGACGCCTCCTTTCCCTACGGCCACCTTAGCTGTTCCATGAATCCATCCATCGTAACTTCCTTGAGCAATGTTCAAGACAGTGTAGCGTATGCAGAAGATGCTTCAGAGTTATTAGTCCCAGGACGGGATGGAAGAAAGGATCTTTTCCTCTGTTGAAGCCAAGATAACAAGCAAAGTTAGTCCAAGACTTGGAACACTATGAGCTGTTGCGGGGAAACTGCAAGTGCCAACGTTGTATGTCTAAACCAGCAGACGGAAGATGCACACAAACACTTTGCAGACTCCAATCATGAGATGAGACGATGAACACAAGACGAACGATATTAATGAATCAAAACACGTTAGCCAGAGATGCAATTAGCAGAGTATGTTGGATACAAATCAAGAGAACTTAGGCGAGGGGTAGAAGAACAAGAGGGCATCTTCATACTGATAGACATCCAGGAGTGTGGCAGCATACATGGATAAGAACAACACTTTTGAATGTTCAACCATGTTGTTATAATCAATATTGTTACAGCATTAGCCAGTTCAGTCCCGGCAATCCATCCCAGCAAGATCGACAAGGTTCTTTGCCTTTTGGAACCTCAATATACAACATGATTCGGTATGGACACGACTTTTGGAACCTCAATATACAACATGATTTGGTATGGACACATTAGTCCATCCAAGAAACAAAGTTTCTTCCATGAACTCAGAAGCATCTCCATGCCGCCGTGTCGAAATGGATCATGCTGAATAATATTGAGAATTTGTTAGAACAATCTTTCGAACTTGAGACACAGACTTCAAACCAAGCCAAAGAAACCATCTTAATCTAATTTCATGTGCATCCCATGAATCAGAACCAAAACTAAGTCTGACCGTATGCAAGCAGTAGCAGCGGCGGCAATTATCCAAATGCATGTCGTCGGTGCCGAGCAGACGAAGTAAACAAGCCACAAGCAGTATAAGTCAAGCTTCCGATGTTCATAGTCAAGTCGGGAAGGTATCAAGAGTTGTGCACTCACTGCACGTTAGCCATGACAAAGTTCTTGATCTCATCCATCACTTGGTAAAAATGATCAGTGTTTGGCAACAAGTAGAATCCGATGGTGGCCTGTTCCCGGTACACAAGCTTCACAGAATGGCCGGCCTTCTTCAACCCTTCGGCATACGCCAATTGCCAGTCCTGAACAAGATCCAATCCTGCCACTATAATGAGGCTCTTTGTGAAGGGAAGACCATCCAGCTTCGCTGCGTTGGGGCCGAAGGGATTGCAAGCCGGGTGGTCTCTATCTGCTCCCTCGGGGAGATACGCTTTCCAATACCAATCTCTGTCCCTAATGGTGACGAAGTATTTGCCGTCCAACCTCTTCTCTGACTCCGTCCTACAGTTTCCACCAAACATGGGGTTAAGGAGAATGTTGCCGGAGACCTCGATTCCTGACTCCGCTGCCCTGACGGCCACATGGTGTGCGATGTTTCCTCCAGAACTGTCCCCTGCGAGGAACACCCGAAACTTGGCATCCTTTCCGCTTTGAAGCCACGGCTCTGCAGAAGCCCACTTAAGGGCAGCCCACCCATCGTCGTAAGCGCAGGGATACTTGTACTCGGGTGACCGGCGGTAGTTGACGGACACGACGACTGCGCCGCATAGGGAGACGAACCGGCGGCAGAGTGAGTCGTAGATGGCGCTGTTGGATGAGGAATGGGCAAAACTTCCGCCGTGGAAGAAGATGATGACCGGAAAGGGGTCAGCAGAGGGCGGCTGATAGAGGTCGGCGAGGAGAGGAACGGCGGCTGAGGTGGAGGGGGCAGGGCGGTAGATGCGTGAAAGCAGCTTACTGGTGCGGCCGATGAGGACATCGAACGAGATGACGCCATTGACAGGGGTGGCATTGGCAGGGACCTTGCGGTCGAGGAATTCGGCGAGGTGGCGGTCGAAGGTGCCGTCGGGGCGGCGCAGCATGTTGTAGGCCAGCTTGAAGTTGGAGATGAGGACCCAGGTGTTGAGGGGAACCGCCATCTGTGTGGGCATCAAACACAGCGATGAGGAAGTGAGATCAACAAAAGGATCAGGCAGGCTTTGTGGGGTTCAGCTTTTGGCTTTTCATCAATTATAGGAGGAACTGTGGGTTAAAGCTTCGATCTTTTTCGCATTCCCGGGAAGAGGGCAGCTCCTAGTGATCGCAAAAGCGTGTGTTTTTTTGCTTTTACCTGATCACAATCTATGAGAGGAGAAAACAAGATGACATCAATGGGGTTTCTGTATCTCTTTCATCCATCTCAGATAAAGATAGGAACTTTGTCACCGGAATTCAACGCACAGGGGGAAGGAACACCGCGTGAGAGGACACAGCAGATGGGAATCGATTCAAAGCCATCAAAGCTCTGGCCTTTTGCCGAATTAAACCATAGGAAATCATCAGGGAGCAAGATAAGACCCAAGTGGCGAAACCCTAACACTAAATCGCCGGAATCGCGTCGAACCCATCGAAATCAGAGCTCTATATCTAATGCAGAAGGCAGAAGGGAAAACGAGGTTAAACAAAAGAGAGTGGGTACCTTCGACTCATTGGCATTAACCTCGTTGCTTCCGGCCATAGTGAAACCGAGCTCAGCAGTCGGTCAAGAGAAGGAAGCAGATCCGGAATAGCATCAAAATCAACGAAAGCTCTCTCCTTTCCGAGTGACACGGGCTCCAAGCATCGAACGTCGACTCCTTCCTCTTCCGGGAACCCTGTTTCGGTTTTCCCGACCTCCACTCCCGCTAGTCCTCGCGGAAATTAGTGACCTTTCGCGATCCAAAGGAGCAGACCCACAAGCAAGCGAAATGGCATAAAGAGATGGACCAAGACGGGGGCGAGGGGGCGAAGCAACGCCAACCGGTGCGGAGGAATGGAGGAGATTGAAACGAGCACGCGAGGACGGTCGAACAGAGAGAGAGAGACGAAGGAGACGACAAACAGGGGAAGCCGAGGCGTCATAATAAATGAGCACTCCCCGGGGATGGACCCACTTCGTACCCAGCGGTAGATAAGACGGAGTCCACCCAAATGTTACATCGAAGAAAGGCTCTTTCCTCTTCCCTTCGGCTTCTTCCTGTTGAGAGGAAGAGCATGAGAAGCTGTCTCACACAAACGCCGCCTCCGTTCTTTGACTGCTCGATTGAAGCGTCCACCGTATATGGAACCAACATGTTTCTCTGAGCCAACGGCAGCAACCCGAGTTGGGGTGGGCGAGAATTTTACCGACACTGAACCGAGGAGGAATTATGACCGAAATCCCACCATCGCACGTACGACAACTACAGTGATGATGACTGTTGCTTCACAATGCCAGGACAGTCACCTGAAGCCATGCACATTCGAGGTAGAAACAAAAACCATTGTAGCTATCAGAGTGGCCTTCTCATGAGTAAAGCTAAAGTAACTATTATGCGCAGGGCAACAGTTCGCCCACCACAGGGACAAACTGTTCTCCCATGACAATGTCATCCGATCCCTCTCCCCTCTTCATCGGCAAAATTCATCCTGTCTAACCACAGAATATTCTGCAGGTCAAACCTGCCATCGATCCAGCAATAACAGCGCGCTCGACACAATGCTTAACGAGATCATGGCGTTTATGCAGAAATATTTACGAGCAAATGCTTCGAGGGAATTATAGGGGAAGATCTTGTCGGATGTCGAGTACTTTTCCCCTTGTGCTCTCCGGTCTCCACCGTAGAAAGTCAACCATATCCGAGAGAGAGAGTGTGTGTGTCGATTATTTGATGATAGTCTTAGTTGAACAAGGCGTTAGAGAGAGAGAGAGAAAGAATAGATCATTTGATGATGGTCTTCGTCGAACAAAGAGATGGAGTTAGAAAGAAAGGGAATAATGATCTGAAACCATCTCGAGTAAATTTGCTTGTGAATGCAGTCAGCAACTTTTTTCTGCTGCTTCCACTTAGCCAAGCACTCATCCTCCTGATACAAAGAAAGACGCTTCGACCTGCTTCCGATCATCATCGCCGAGCGTTCACCTGCAGCAAAGATGTCAGACAACTGCAGACTTCACTGCTCGCGTCCAGATCAGTCTTCCCTCCCTCCCTCTACAGCTTCTCCCAGAATGCACGGCCATCAGTGCCGAGAATGGACGCGTAGAAAAGGCCGTCTGCAGTCAGCAAGCGGTGGCGTGTGCGGACAAATTGCGGTACCTCGTCGTGGCTCTCTCGCTCTGTCCATACGCCGACGAGCACACCAGCGCATGCGCCAAAGCGTACGCAGACGCCACCAAAAGAGAGGTCCCATTCCCGTTCCCCACTCGAAACGTGTTCGCTCTACAGCCAAGCCTCGGTTCCCTCTCCGTCTCACGTCAGATCCCTCTTCGCTGCAAGGAAGAGGAGGGTACGTGTGCCTTCTGTAGGCTGTGCATTCCATCTCCATCTCCATCTCCATCTCCATCTCCATCTCCGTCCGTGGTGGATGGAACCATTTGGTGCGTGGAGACCAACAGGGCTTGTTTGCCGAACCGCCTTGAGCCGGAATTCAAGGCTTCTCCTGACGCCACCTCCGTGAATCTTCGTCCGGTTCGGGTCAAGCCAAGTGTTTCTTGGTGATATGGTTCGGTCCAATCCGAGCTGACCCGGGTTTTGCAGGGGTCAGGTTCGGGTCAAATAACCAAATAATCGAGCCGGTTCGGCTTGGTTTATCATAACCATGGATGCGATAGATGGATCACGAGAAAAAGGAAAAGAAGTTACAGTTAAGCGCGACAACGAGCAGCCGACATGCATGACTTGGGAGTCGTTTGTCATCACAGGATGTGAACGCCGACACTAATTACTCTCAACAAATATCTTTTGGAGGGCATTTAATTCACACGGGTTATGCGTTTGTCCTAATTCACGTCTCATGTCGCCACATTAATTAAGTGCCTTAAGCTAAAGACAAAAGGTTTCGCCACATTAATTAAGTGCCTTCAGCTAAAGACAAAAGGTTTCGCATAACCTAACATCCATAGAATAAAAACAGATTAACGATAAAAAATAATACAAAGAATGCACGTAAATTATCATCATCGTTCCATTGAAGAAAAACTCTAGGATCTTATGTAACTGAACAAACATACTTTGCTTAGAGTTCAAAAATAATACATCATATTTATATTTTTCATACACACATACCACACATGATACTGGAAAGAATGAAACTGATTTATCTCTATACAATCACGCAAAGTCAACAAAGGATTCCTATCCAATTTTGTGCATTTGATCATCCTTCTTTTGACGTCAAGAAAAGGTGTCATCTGCATGTGCAGCACATTAAAAGGCAATGATTTCAGCATTTTGATTGATTATATTTCATGTCATCACAGGGAAGAAGCCAAGTTGCCGACTTAGATATTAATATCATGGGACCTTGAACAGGCCACAAGCAAATCCAGCCTATCATGAGTCCCATTGAGTGTTGTGGGGCAGTACATGGCCTTTTGTCTTTGGTCTCATCTGTTGTTCCCCTTCTCTTCTGGCTTCCATGGTAGCAAAGCTTGTTCCCACCTCCAATGGATACAAAAGCTAATGGCAAACTTGCGGCCCCGCCTGCCGACACCATTGCCAAGGCTCAAATGTTACCATAAGGTTGTTGTGAAGTAGCAAAACAAATCACTGCATGAAGATAGATGGAACAAGGAGAAAGAACATACCAAATTATGGGGGAAGGTTCTGCTGTATTGGAAAGCTTCCACTGAATTGATTGCATTTATTTGGGATCTACTGTGCTATAACTTGTTTATATTTCTCCTGATTGATTTGCCCCATGTCTTTCTTGGACTTACATAATACAAGATTAAAATCTCAGTCGATGCAGAAGCTGATGACCCTGATTCGAAAGATAAAAGGCTTATAAACATTATAATTCTCTGAGGAGCTCTGCTTCAACCCAGGCAGATAATCAAGAGAGGATACAAGTGAACCCGTAATTGTTGGGCTGTCAATTGATTATTATAGCATGAGGACATTAAAAATGCACCTTACGGAAGCTGAAGAATTGCTTGCCCCATGAAGGGTGAAGACTACCGACATATGCTGCTAAACGCACAAAAATAAAGAAGGATGCATCTTCCTGATGGTTGAGAAGATGCCATCCCCACAGCGTTTACCATGCGATTTTGGGAAACAGCATTATATGTGGATTATCCCTTGTTACGTCAAATCAGATCGGGGTTTCTCCCTACAGACAAATCAGCCCATCAATACTGAAAGAAAGTTGCGTCAAAAGAAACAGGGACTATGACATTTTGGTTTGACATGACCAGATTGGGGTTTCTTTTGCACATTGAAATGAACGTTTCCTTGAGTTAGTCCTAAACAAAACCCAAGAGGAAGATCATTCCCTATGGTGATATGTAAGTAACATCAACCATATGACCGAGAGAGATTGCAGCACCCAGTGTCGTATATTGACAGAAAAAAGGAAAAAAAGAAGCATATGCTGCATATGTGTCATTTACTAAACACAAGTACTCAAGTATTTTGCACCAAATTAGCAAAGCCACTCTCAGTAAATTATTTATTTATAGGGTAGCTGGCACTTGCAGTGACAGAAAACCATACCTTGTGCATCCAAATATGTAACATGCCAAATTTTCTAATATTTTCTCTCTTTGGTGTTCAAGAGCAAGTAGCCGTTCTTAACTGCATGATCAATAGATCCATACATTATGTGAGTATCGAGTTCAATCAAGCATATAGCTTATTTTGCTATCGGTGATGCAAAAAAAGCAAATTTGTAAAACTTGGTGAACTTGGAGATTCCACAAGCTCCAAACACCTTCCTAAAAGGGGTGGACAACTGAGAAGAAAAATAGAATGCCGTGGGTAGGAGAAGAGAAATATGATTTTAATCAGAGACAATGGAAATGATCATTCATCAGTGATTTATTTACAAAGAATGTCACTACACAAACACTTTAAGCAATGGTCTCAGGGAATATTGAACATAAAATACAGTCATGAAAGTACGCCAATATTGAAAAAAAGCAAATTTTGCAGACTTACTTGATCTGTATAATGCATAGTACACTTATCAGCCTTCAAATAGATTTGTGGTCCATGAACTGAGTTGATCGGTTCTACTTCTGAGTGGCACAGAGTTCTCTGATGAAGAATTTATCTTTCACAGGTAATACGGTCATGAAATAGCCTCAGGTCAGCATCAGAAATCTCGGTTATCTGACTCATGAAAACCCTCCAAGCCTACCATATTATCCGAGTGATATTTTCCACTAAAAACTTGAATATAGAAGCCAACATTTGTATATTTGACTGAAAAACCTCTCACATTCCTCATCGAAGCCTGTCCGATGATAGTTGAGAACACATCCGTTTGATGCTCGACAAGGAATTGGATCTTCTAGATATGTTTTCGACCTGGAAAATAAAATTGGACTAGCATCAAATTATTAACACAAGAAGAAACTATACAAGTCGGATAATCATGATGTAACTTTGTTTAGTAGGCAACTCAAACAGCCCACAATAATTTCAGATAGTAACTTTTCAAAGAGGGAAAAGGGAAGAGAGTGCCAGAGATAAAGATTTACAATTAGCAACTGTTTTCAATGTTGATGAAGATAATTGTTCTACAAAAGCCAGTGGATTTCCTTTCATGGTTTATATAACCTCACATAAACATATCTCCACCAGATGGTAACAAAAATCTAAACTAAAAAAAAAAAGAGAAGTATCATTTAGAATTAAAAGAGATCTACTTCACCTAATATGAGGACATTTCTCACCCACTCTTATGCTCTTTTTTTCTATGTGCTGCAATATAGTCAGCAGAGCTGCAGGTGGACCTTTTAAGTGTTCATGAGTTCTGCCATCAAATTCTACATATAACCCCTTTCCTTTGGTGATGGACTTCTTCTGCCATCGTAGGTCATCAAAATCCACCGGGAAATCTAATGTACCAGGTCCGAGTTCCAACTTCCAACCCACGGTTTCCAACTTACTATTGATACCCCATGTTACCGTAATGATTCCTGTTGGCCAATCCAAAACACTTGTTCCTACATATCTTCCAGGACTCGGACACCATCACCGGAACGAGGGAAACAGAAACCATTCACAAATGATATAGCATTTCATCCGTGGAGAGAAACAGTCATTTAAAGACCCGAACAAATCAAATCGAAGGTGGCTCGGCGCCTTACCTGCTTACCACCAAAGAAGCATTCGCCCACACCGGAGACTGGGCCTTTGCCACTTGATTTACCCTCTCAGCCTGACGCCTCACTACCACTGCCGCCGCCTCCTCGGCACCCACCATGCCGACTAATTTGGGGGCACGACAGTTGACATCGCTCGCGGCTAGCGTTTGCATTTTGTTCAATTATTATTATTATTATTATTATTATTATTATTATTATTATTATTATTAGTATTATTATTATTATTATTATTATTATTATTATTATTATTATTATTATTATTATTA